GCCAGGCCAATGTACTGCGACCCTAGATAGTCACTGTAAGAACGAAGCCTGCGTCAACTTCGCCAATTACCAGGAATGTCGACGCAGTTGTGACTCACCGATCCCTCTCCTCAGTCAGATGACGGCTGAAACCACTCCACCAATCTGCGGAGAACAGATGTCTGCCCAAGGCGTCGAGTCCCGGCGTTGATGCATTGTCCCACTCCACCGCTTGGTGCATTTCGGATGGCGGAGCGTAGAACAGTCGTTCTTTTCCCCAGACGAACCATCCAGTGGTGGACTTATCAACGAGCTCGCTCTCTGGCGTGAGCTCCTCTCCAAAGCTTCTCCAATGCGCAGCGCTCTGCTCGACCGTCACTGGGAGTGACAGCTGCCGAATACGCTCGAGAGGATGCTTGGTGTCGCCAATCGCGAGATCATGATCGTTCGGAGAGAGTGCGCGGCATTTTGCGATCCTCAAAGCTTTCAGGATGGCCCACTGGCCGACGCGACGGATCGCCACATTGTCGTCTAGCGCTGCTGATGCAACATGCTCCATCAAGGACGAGTCGAGCGGTCTGTCCTTTGTCAAGAATTTGTCCAGTAGGCGCATGATGGCCAGACTGTATGACCAATGTGTGTCCTTCGACTGTGCAATCTTGAGCAGAACGGGCAATAACTCGAGTCGCATGGCTTGACGCTTCTGCATCCGCTCTTTGGCCCCATCAGCGATTGATCTCACCACCACGGGGTCTTCAGGAATGTAGTGCGGCAACTTCTCCACTAGATTGATGGCCTCGGAAAGCTCTGCAGGGCGATTTACTTCGAGATGCAGGGGTATGTGGAAGTTCTTGACCAAGTCAGCTAGCAGCTTGCCCCTGAGCACCTTCTGAATCGAAGGTTTGGAACGATGCTGTCCTTGGAGCACAGCTTCAACGTAACGCCGAGTCCATTGTGGGTCGACTGTGATCGTGCTTTGGAACATTGGATGAGCCAAGAGGTAGAGTGCGCCCTTGTAGCGATCGTCACTTGCTTGCGAGCCAGGCTGCAACACGTCCAGCAATTTAGGCAAGCAAAGCGCGCGCGTGCCGCTGTAGAAAGCAGCAACATCGGTGAGCGCTCGCTGGGCGGTCATTCGGACTCCAGTGTATTCCGACAGCGATAGCTCCAGCAGGTCCGCCAGAAGTGCATCGTCGAGTCTTGATCGAGCTCTATGCATTGCCGCCAGCCTGCCACGGGAGGTAGTGTGCAGCTCGGCTGTGCGGATCCAGTACAGCCGTGCTGACGTCTTCTGTTTGGGATGTAGTCGGACGCTGGCTCTGAAGCTGCCCAGGAAACCGACTAGATGATCGTAAATGATGCGCGAATATGCGTATGAATTCATAAAGGTTCGAATGCATCTTGTTAGGAGCTTGACGCAATCGATGTCGTCCTCAGCTCCGGAGATTTGCATCCGATTCGCAGCTTTGTGACAGATCTCTCCAAAGCGACGACGGAACGCTGCCACAGCCTGGTAACGCGGGTCCGTCGGATCCCTTAGAATTGCGCCCCATGCGAGGTCAGGCAACGGAGCCAGAAATTCGGGCTCGTTTGCACCATGATCCGTGGCAGGGACTCCTCTCTCTTCTCCCGTCGGCAGGGGTAAAGGGATTACTGCCGCAAGCTGGGTGTAAGCAGTCCGCAAAAACAAGAAATGTCGGTGAAAGTCATTGCTCCAGACCTTGTCGTGCTTCTGCTCCGAGTCGAGGAGCTCTTCCAATCGCCGGTAGGATGACTCGAGGAGGCCGGATAATATCTCGAGCCCGAACGAGACTTCCTCGTCGTTTGGGACGTGCCACGAAATTGCCGTATCTTTGCATCTCAGCGTTTCGCCCCAGTGCAGATGGCTGCGTGCCGTCATCTCGTTGCTGTCCCACATCTCTGAATTCCAATTGCGAGTTGAAATGGGATAGATGGTCAAGCAAGCATTGAGCACGCGGCTCAGCACCGCACTTGCGAGGACGTATCCTCTCTCTGAGCGAGCTCGATCCAAGACGATGCTCAAGACCTTTAGTAGCCGATCGCGATATTTGAGCAAGCCCGCTCCAGGGCTGGCGAGGGCACCACACAAGATGCTGAGGTTCCAGTGGAGGGTTGTGTCGCTTGCCGCCGGTACGCTGGTGCTCGTCGTCCTGGTTGAACTCGCGCCGTGCTGGATTTCAGCCTCGATGCGATCAACACAGAGGGGCAGCAATCGCGCGAGCACCTTTTCCGAATCGGCTTCGGCAAACATCTGCACGAGAGTCCCAATCGCAGTGACAGAGGGTGCATGTACGGTGTTCTCGCAATGGTCCGCCACGATGCGCAACGCCAGGTCGAATAAGTTGGGTGAGAGCGCGAGACAGATCTTCTCGCACGCCGCAACGACAGCGTCGATGACGGTTTGCTCAATCTTGCCGCCCGGTTTGCCTTTCTGACCCTCGTCGGGAAGAGCTTGCAGCAAAACTAGAATCTGGCGGAAATACGCAGCCACCCATTCTTCAAAGTCTGCCGTACTGATCTTTAGGGCATCGTCCTCTTCGGCATCGGACAGCCCAACTGCGTCGCCGCTGCCCAAGTTGGCAACTTTCTTATCAACGGATGAGCTTCCCGGTCTCTGGAGGGCAGCTTCAGCAGCCGTGGCCTCCGGGCTGTTGAGGTCGTCTATCTTAATAAGTAGCGCTGCGGTTTGCACGAACATGGATGAGGCGTAGCTCTTGATGAAATCGTTGATGTCTAGCGCGGGCAAGCACAAGTGGAATAAAGGTACCAAATGCTTGCCACCTGGTCTCCAGTGACTGCGGGTGATTAGCGGCAGCACGAGTGCGCCTAGAGCGCTCAGCATTGCAGTAGTACGTTGCGTCGTCTCTAGCGCTTCAAGACTGCTAAAGGAACGTTCCAAAATGGCTGGCAGCACCAATTCGGGCTCTAGA